ACTGCTCTGAACCCCAGTTCTGGGCCAATCCCTGGGGACCCAGGCTCAAGTAGAGGGAGACGGGGCTGTGAGGTGGAGTCCTGGGAGAGCGGCGAAAGGCCGAGCCCCTGGAGTTGCGCACATTGCTTGCAAGGGAAGGAATTTTGACTCTGATGTGGGATTGCCCTGGAGGGAAGGAAACGGGAGCCCCGCTGTGTTGGGCCCCAGTTTCGACTGCTCTGAACCCCAGTCCTGGACCAGACCCTGGGGACCCAGGCTCGAGCAGGGGGAGACGGGGCTGTGAGGCGGAATCCCAGGGGAGTGGCGAAAAGCAGAGCCCCCAGAGTCGCGCGCACTGTGCGCAGAGGACAGTCTGTTGACTCTGATCCTAGACTCCCCTAGCGGGAAGAGAAAAAAAAAGCTCCAGACTGGAGGAATGCGACAGGGAGCAGGAGCCCCTGCCGGACACCAGGCAGCCGGGCGCCGGCAGGGAGCCGGGCGACGGGGCCCCCAGGGGGGGTGCCCCTGAGCCTTCGACCGCTGAGCACGGGCAATGGAGCCAAGGCCGGGGGCTGCTTCCTGGGCGGCGCCAACCCCGGCAACAGGCTGGAGCAGCGCGGGAGCCCGCGGAGAACAAAGGGGTGCCACAGGCCAACCTGCTGAGCTCCCAGGACAAGGAGGAAGAAACCAAAGAAGTTCTCAATGTGAAGAAATCAAGTGAGAGCAAAAGATAGTAAAATTACTTAAGAAAGAATACAAAGAAGATCTTGAAAAATCAAAGACTAAGTCAGAACTCAACTCACCAGCCAACATTGCAACATATATGCATTAAAAAAAAAAAAAAAAAAGGACAGAATGTTGGAACAGCGGCGGCCAGGCCTAGAGTACCTAGGCACAAGGCAGTGGCAACCGGGCCCGGAGCAGCAACGGCCAGGCCCCAGAGCAGCAGCAGCCAGAACCAGAGCAACAACAGCCAGCACTGGAGCAGCCAGACCTGGGGCAGTGGCAGCCAGGCCTGAGGCGGAGGCAGCCAAGCCCAGGGTGGCCAGTCCAGGAACACCCAGACCCGGAGTGGCCGGGCCCGGAGAAACCGGGCCCAGAGCAGCCGGGTTGGGAGCAGCCAGGCCCAGAACAGCAGTAGCCAAGCCCGGAGCATCCAGGCTGAGAGCGGCCAGACTCGGAGTGGCCGGGCCCGGGGCAGCCGGGCCCAGAGCAGCCGGGTTGGGAGCAGCCAGGCCCAGAACAGCAGTAGCCAAGCCCGGAGCATCCAGGCTGAGAGCGGCCAGACTCGGAGTGGCCGGGCCCGGGGCAGCCGGGCCCAGAGCAGCCGGGTCGTGTTCTGCCAGGCCCGGAGCAGCGGCTGTCAGGCTGGGAGCGGCCAGGCCCGGAGCAGCCGGGTCTGGTGTGGCCAGGCCTGAAGCAGCGGTTGCCAGGCTGGGAGCAGCCAGGCCCGGAGAAGCAGCTGCCAGGCTGGGAGCTACCAGGCCTGGAGCGGCAGGGCCCGGAGCAGCCGGGCCCAGAGCAGCCGGGTTGGGTGCGGCCAGACTCGGAGCAGCAGCAGCAAGTCCAGAGCAACTAGGTCGGGAGCGGCAGTGACCAGACCCAGAGCAGCTGGTTGTGGAACGAACCAGAGCAACAGAGGCCAGGCCCAGAGCAGCCAGGCCCGGAACAGCTCGCTCCTCGCCTGCCCCTGCCCCACGGCTGCCTCTCAGACATGGCTGGAAACTTTTGCGGGAACTTGAGGGTCTGCTGAATCAAGTGATGAAGGCTTAGCTCTGGATGTGTTGAGTTAGTATAGGGCTGTGGTGTTGATCTGTGAGTGCCTTGTGTGGGGCCTGGATGAGGCTTGTTGACCTATTTGGAAATGTCTTTTGTGTGAAATGTATCATTGGGCATGTGGTGGTATTGTTGATATGAGAAAATGCTAAGTAACTGATTTACTATCTGAAAAGGGATTTACTATCGGGGAAAGGGAGGGAGGAAGAGATTGAACATAAACTGTGCACCTATGGATGAGGACAATGGGGGATGGGGAGGGGGCAGAAGGTGGGGTGGGAACCTGGTGGAGGGGGGAAGAAATGAGGAACCTTTGTAATAATATGAACAATAAAGATTGATTTAAAAAATAAATAAATAAATAAATAAATAAATAAATAAATGTATATGACACTGTGTGTGTGTGTTTTGGATTCAGGCCGTGTCACTAACTGGCTAGGTAACCCTGAATAAGTTACCTTAGTTTACTCATTTAAAAACTGGGATGAGCCCTGGCCAGTGTAGCTCAGTTGATCGAGCAGGTTTACTCCCCTCCCCCCCTTAGGATTTAGGGTTTCATATATATATACAATATATATATATTTCAGAAAGAAAAGGAGAGGAGATAGAAACATCAATGATGAGAATCATTGATCGGCAGCCTCCTGCACGCCCCCTACCGGGGATCAAGCCTGAAACCTGGGCATGTGCCCTTGACCAGAATGGAACCTGGGACCCTTCAGTCCACAGGCCAACGTTCTATCCACTGAACCAAACCAGCTAGGGCAGGCAGGTTTGCTTTTTGATAGTAGAGGATCTTAGAACACTTTAGAGCTTTGTAGGTCATAAAGTGAGTGCCAAGAAATCATCCCACAGCAAAGTTTCAACAACCCAGCATTGCATTATATATCAGGATATCAATGGAGCCAAAAAAAAAAAAAAAAAAAAAGTGACTCAATGTAACCATCCTCACAGAAGACTGATGCAATTATTTGCCTAACAACTTATTTATTTATGATCAGGATAATGTCCCATAAAATATCAATGTTCCCCCATCCAGGAAAGCCCCCTCCCCTTTGCTAGAAAATAAATAATTCATCAGCAAGTAGCTTGGTAGGCATGGAGTCCGTCTTGAGGACCACCTGACTGAGCCATCGTGAGGTCTGACAGAGCACTGCCGTGGTGACCCAACTCATTGCACCCAATGCAGCATCTATCAACCGCTGCATTTTCTAGCTTCTCTTCTCCAGGGTCCTAATTGGCCAGGTTGCTCTGATTCCCATCATCTGTATCTGGTCCACACGACCTATAACTGCTCTAGTTGATGAGATGTCACTTTGTCAATTATCATCACAATCCAGTCTGTCTAAAGTTTCACTGGGTTGCCATGAGGGAAATGTGTGTGTGATCCCAAATTGTTCAGGTATCCACATACGCCTAGCCCCATCAGTAGCTAATCTCACCCTTCCTGTATGGGTTTCACTAGTTAACCACAGAAACAGCTGGATTTCCCTGACAGTCTGGTTCTTGGTTACCCTCTAAAGATACTATCAGGCTTACCAAAGAGGGTGCTCTCTTGGAGCATGGATTTATGACATGCTCCTGAGGTAGGTCATAGTTCGTGGTTTTCTGTGTTTAAACTGAAGGGCAATGTTTGTTTTTTTGTTAATCAAGGCGCTCCGTTTGGAGTTTTGAAGACACTACTACAGAATTTTAATTTGTTTTTCTACCTCGGCTTCCATACCAGTGCCTCTCCAGTTTTAATCTGATTACATGGGAACCCTCTGCTCTCCTTTTCTGCCTGTGTTTGCTTCCGACTGTTACAGTTGCTTCTCAGCCTGTTATTTTTTTTTTTCTTCTTCTTTGAGCCTCAGTGTTAAGGATTCTCTGATAGGGATCTCTCATAAACCCCTCTCTTGCATTCCCCCCTCAATATCTATTATGTATTTTTCTGTCTCCATGTGCGTCTCCTCCTTCCCGTGGATATTGATTTAATCCTGCCCCCCACCCGATGTTGTCTCTGTGATTCCCCTCTGTCTCTTCCCCTATTCTTCTATCTCCGTGTACATCTCCGATTCTGACTTTTCCCATCTTCCCCCCCCAGCCTCTGCCTATCAGTCCCTGTCAGTCTGTCTTTGTTCTGCACTGAAGCTGCTTGTCCTTTGTCTTTCTGCCTGTCTCCACACCACATATCTCCTGCTCTCTTTTTCTGTCAATAAATCTTTCCACTGACTGGCTCCTCCACCTCCCACTCTTCTGCGTCTCAGCTCCCCTGACAAATCCCCCCCATCTCTTTCCCCCTCTCTCTGCTCTCACTCTGTTCATCCCTCAGCCTGCCACGATTACCCCCGTCTCTCCTGAGCCTGGTTGTTCCTCCTTGTCACTCACTCTCACTCAATCACTGCCTAGACTCTCTGTGCCTTCCACCCTGGGGGTCCCTTCCTGTCAGCCTTTCTTTATTTTTATTTTTCTCTTTGTTTAGGAGCATTTTACCAAGTCTGCGAACTGGGTTTATCTCAAGCTTCTGTAACAGTCTTTCTCGATATTTCTGCCAAGGATCCTCTGTCCTGCACTCCATTTCCCTTTGCCTCTGTGTCTTCTGTGCAGCGAGTCCTCTTTCTTGCTGTCTTTCCCTCAATCTATATATGTCTTTCTCTGCATCCGCTTCGTCTTTCTTTAGCTCCGCGTTTTGGCAGGAATTTTTAAAAATCTCCTGTCTCTTGCTTTTGCTCATGTGTCTTTTCTGTGGGTGATTACAGATTACCTCTGGTCCATTGTTTAGTAGACTAGCAACCTTAATCTGCTCAACACTCCCCAGCACCTGGATATTCTGCATGAAGAAGGGAGGGGTCTTATGCAATAGAAAAATAAATAAATAAATGCAGCCTTGGAACCCTGGCCAGTTGGTTAGAGTGTTGCCCTGATATGCCAAGGTTTTAGGTTCGATCCCTGGTCAGGGTACATACAAGAAGCAACCACTGGCCAAAACCGGTTTGGCTCAGTGGATAGAGCATCGGCCTGCGGACTGGAAGGTCCCAGGTTCAATTCCCGTCAAGGGCATGCACCTTTGTTGTGGGCACATCCCCAGTAGGGGGTGTGCAGGAGGCAGCTGATCGATGATTCTCTTTCATCGATGTTTCTAACTATCACCCCTTTTCTCTGTAAAAAATCAATAAAAATATATATTAAAAAAAGAAGCAACCACTGAATGCATAGATAAGTGGAACAACAAATTGATATGTCTCTCTCTCCATCCAAAAAAAAAAAAAATCAATAAATCAAGACAAAAGAAAAAATGCAGCTGAAGTGGCAGGGGAGAAAGGAGAGATTGCAAATGACTTCATCGCTCTGTAGCCAAAAGGAAGCCTCTCCTAGGCTTCTGCCTGTGCCTCATTCTTCCAGGAAGCCCTGGGCCTAGGAAGACCCTACACTGTGCGCCCAGCACGGGTGTCTGAGTCCCTACGAGAGCTCTGTCCTAAAAGAGAGACCTATTGTCACTCCTGACCCAGTGACACGCCACCCAGTGTTCTTGAGCTTGATATGTATGTTTTTCTCATTAAAGGTTCAAAACCAAATTAATAAAATAAAATAAATAAAATAAAAAGAAGGGAGACCTAGCCCCATGTTCATCCCTCTAAAAATGGGTCTTTTCTTTGAGAAAGTCAAGATATTCTAAAGATAAATTTCAAAAAGGCAGATGCTGGACACAGTAGGACTCAGGTGAAGTACAAACACAACAGTGGGGTTTTGAGAACCAGAAATCTCAGCGGCAATCTCTATGCCCCGGGTCTTTGGTCTCTGAGCAGCTGGTATGTCTATGTAACTCCTGGCTACAGAGGGCACCTGTTGCGTTCTCCTCCCACTGCCAGAGTTTGGTCATAGGTGAGATCCCTTCCCTCTGGCCTTACCCCCACCCTACCACACCTCTACTCCCCATGAGACTTCACCTTCCCTCACCTGTCCCTGTGCTAGAGCAAAGGGATTCTGTTTCCTTTGGCAGTTAACGTGCAGTTGCATGGGTCCTGCCACCCTGTATTGGTAGCACTGGCTGTACCTCTTGAATTAGTTTTCTGGAGAGGACGGTTATCCGATGAGGAAATGCAATGCACAATAGCTCAGATTCCCAACCATTTCTTTTCGGGGCCTAGGAGTGGGGGAGGGGTATGAATTTGCAGGAAGAGGAGCTGAGATGCTGAAAATCCAGTCCAGTCTTTACCCCAATAGGGGTGTCTGTGCATTGTAGACCATCATCTCCTTGTCCCCCAAGACTGGCAGAAGGAGAACCCGAGGCTTCACCCTAGTCTTTCAGGCCGAGAGGGGAATCCTCCTTGGGGGCAGGCTCACCATCATATGTCCTGGCGACCCTCGCTTCCCTGTGCCCACGGCTGGATGAATGAGACTGAGACCGCAGGACGTCACTGATGAAGATTAGGACACCCTGTTTGATGCTCAAGGCTCCCACGGTGGCCAGCCCGGTGCCACCGAGGACAAGCAGAGCAGGAGGCACCAGGCGGTAGTGCCAGATCAGCCACAGACTCATCCACACCAGCGGCGCCAGGCGGAAGAGGACCAGGGTGGCCAGCGTGGCCCAGCTGGCCAGACTGAAGGCCACGGAGGGGGCCTGGTGAGAAAGCAGCAGCAGCTTTCTCAGGTGCAGGCAGGCGGAGTTCAGCTCTAGGAGCAGAGACACCAGAGAGAAGCCCACGTAGTGGTCGAACAGGACGGCAGTGCCGAGGCAGCTCACTACCTGGGGAGCAAAGGGCCAGAGGTTAGAAGACCCCCCAGGACCTACCGCCCATCATGTCCTAATATCCCGGCCCGCCCAGGCATTTTCTGGCATTCTTTCCCCGAAAACACCCCACTTTATGCTGGCCCTATGCCAGGAGCCCAATGGCTTCGAAACCATCTTTCCAGTCTTCTCTGGGGCTGCAGCATCTGCACAGTAACCCCTCCCCCCAAATCTCCCATCCTGGTCTTTCACGCCCTATCCCCACTCCCAATACCGGGGCTCCCTCCTTCTCAGGAAAGCTCCGTGTTTAACGTTTCTGCCATGGACAGGACACCTGTGGGAATGCAACCCCCTGAGGCAGAGCGCAGACCCCCAGCTGTGCCAGCAGTCAATCCCCGCCCCTCAATTCAGGATCCAGCCCAGGGAGAGAGGAGTGTCGGACTCTCTGGTGGGGAGTCGAGAGGGACAGAACGCGGATGAGAGATTGGGGTCTGCAGTTGGTACACCTCCCTTCCTGCCTCCCCTTTCCCTGAGTCTCACCGCCAAATGGTGACAGAGAAGCTCCCAGGCCTGGCCCCAGGTCTGGTTCTTCAGCATGTCAAGTCCATCGGCCAGGAAATAACCTACGGGGAAGGGTGGCAGCTGGGGTACAGTCCGGAGAGGACTCTCCAGCCCCTGCGTCGGCGGCCAGTCCTTTCGTTCCCCTCAGGAACACTGACAGGAGAGCACCCCCCAAGCTGGCCCAGGCTTCCCTGCAGACTCACCCACAGAGACAGCCACCAGCAGCAAGGTCCAGGGCGGGTGGGTGTGAATGGGGTCGGTGGCCAACTGAGGGTATAGCACCAGCCTAGAGGAGATAGGGGGTGGGGGTGGGGAGCCGCCGTGAGCTCCGTGCAGCCCCGATCCTCCTGTGGGGCACGCCCGCCCGTCCACCCACCCCAGCCTCAGACTCTCAAGGTGCAGCATCCCTTTGGAAGGTGCGGCCAGGTCTTCTCCCGTTAGCTCCCCGTCCCGCGCCCTCACCCAGGCACCCCCCTCCCGAACCTCTGAGCCCCGCACCCGAGCAGCGCCCCGAACCCGGTGATCAGGCTGTGCACCAGGGAGACAGCGATGTTCCGCCACTTCCAGCGGTCCTGAGCCGTGGCCCCCGGCACGGGCAGCCGCCGCAGCCCCCAGTGCATGCCCCGGAAGGCGGCGAAGGAGGCGCCGGTCACGAGGAGCCCCGAAGCCCCCATGGCCTGGCGGGCGGGCTAGGGCCGGACCGGTTCCCGGGGCCCCGCGCGCTCGCCCCCGACGCATCCGACGCCCGCTCCGGAGGCGGCGGCCCGCGGCGGGCAGGGCTGGGCTCCTGGGCTCCCCGGCCCGCCGGCCTCAGGGGTCTGCCTGCGGTGACTTTTCCAGGGCTGGTCCGCGACCTCCCGGCCGCACCGTGATTGGAGCAGCCGCGCGCCCCCGCCCCCGGAGCCAAGGCAACCGGCCGCGTCCCGGCCCCGCGACGGGCTGCGGGCGGGGGGGCTGCCGGGCTGGGCCGGGCAGCGGGACTCGGGGGCCTTCTGGGGAGTGGACAGAGGTCTTCCCCGACCGCCCGCGTCCGGAACTTTTTAGAGCTCCAGAAGTAGGTCACTAACCTCACCTGACACTCCGGGGGGCCCCGCCCCACTACCTTTCCCCTAAAGTCTCACCATCGGGCCACCCCTCCCACCCACCCCCGCGGCCCCGGGGGGGAGAGGCCGGGCAGGCCCGCCGCCACTTGCTTAGACCTCGGCTCCCACCCCCTCCCCGCCTCCACTGTGGGGGAGAGGGCGCCGCACTTCCCGGGAGCCAGGTACCCCTTCTGCCTCCGGAGGTTTCCCGGCCCACGGCGCAGCCCGGCAACCCCACATTCCAGGAGCCCTGCCCCTTCCAGAGCACCTCTCCGCTGGAACGCCTGCAGCTTCCATTCGGGAGGGAGGGGCCCGCTGGGAACTCCGCCCTCGACCTTTTCTGGGTGCCCCATAGTCAGAGGAGTCTCACTACGGGGAAGAGGAGGCAAAGGGGGCCGCTCGGCACTACAGTCCTGAAAAGCACCCCTCCCCCGAGGCGGTGCCTGGTGGGTGCGTCTCCCCATCCGAGGAGGCCGGAGAGGTCAGTTACCTCAAGGTGGGCAGAATCACAGAGAAAACGGAGACGCGTTGGGCTTTCGTGGCAAGGCTTGTTAGGATTCCAGAACCTTTCAGCCTGTGAAGGAAAATCTCCCTCCCCAACCCGTTTCCTGAAGAGTTTGTGCTGTTTTCCATCTTACTCCACACCTTGAGCTGGTTGCCAGCCAGAAATCCAGAGCCGTTTCCTGTGCGCGGAACAGGCCCATTCCAGCTACTGCCAGAGAATGAATTTCTTAACCTGATTAGGAGGCAGCTGATTGATGATTCTGCTCCCCCGAACACTCTCACAGCCCTCTTTCCAACCAAAACTCCACTAACCCCAAGGGCCTGGGGACATCCCTTCGTTCTTCCACACCCACATCTCCAAAAACAATTTTTTTTAAAGTTACACTGATTCTTTTAAATTTTGTTATATGAAAGCCATACACAATTAATGTAGCAAATTTGTAAGTTACAGAAAACATGAAAATTACAATTACTTTATTCCACCACCCAAAAATTAACACTTCGGAGTACAGTATAGCCTCCATCTCTGTTTCATGTATTGTATGCAGGTATATACTTATATTTTAAAAAACAAATTTGAGATCACATGATATACACTATTTTTTATAACCTTTTTTTATATATATATTTTATTGATTTTCTACAGAGAGTAAGGGAGAGAGATAGAGAGCTAGAAACATCGATGAGAGAGAGTCATCGATCAGCTGCCTCCTGCACACCCCCTACTGGGGATATGCCCGAAACCAAGGCACATGCCCTTGACCAGAATTGAACCCGGGTCCCTTCAGTCCCCAAGCGGACGCTCTATCCATTGAGCCAAACCGGTCTCGGCTATTTTTTATAACCTTTTAATTTTTTGTTGTTAATCCTCACCTGAGAGTCTTTTCTCCATTGATCTTTAGAGTGGAAGAGAGGAAGGGAGGGAGAGATGGATTGGTTGCCTCCTGCAACCCAGGTATGTGCCCTTGACCAGGAATAGAAGCAGAGACCCACTGGTGCAATGTCTGGTGCTCCAATTACTGAGCCACTGACCAGGGCTGTAACCTTTTTTTTTTTTTAAATATATTTTATTGATTTTTTACAGAGAGGAAGGGAGAGATAGAGAGAGCTAGAAACGTCAATGAGAGAGAAACATCAACCAGCTGCCTCTTGCACACCCCCTACTGGGGATGTGCCCGCAACTCAGGTACATGCCCTTGACCGGAATCGAACCTGGGATCTTTCAGTCCGCAGGCCAACGCTCTACCACTGAGCCAAACCGGTTTCGGCAAGGGCTATAACCTTTTAAAATATATATATTTATATTAAGTATACTTAATATATATACCGGTATATTTTTAAAATCAATAAAATATATTTTTAAAATATATATTTTAAAAAATGTATTTTATTGATATATATATATATATATATATATATATATATATATATATTTTTTTTTTTTTTTTACTGAGAGAGGGAAGAAGAGGGATAGTTAGAAACATCGATGAGAGAGAATCATCCATCAGCTGCCTCTTGCATACCCCCTACTGGAGATGTGCCTGCAACCAAGGTACATGCCCTTGATAGGAATCGAACCCGAGACTTTCAGTCTGCAGGCCGACGCTCTATCCACTGAGCCAAACCGGTTTCACCACCTTTTTTTAATATTTATTTTTTATTTTTTTGATTAAGCCTTTTTTTTAATTAAAACTTTTTTTAATATTTAAAGGACATTTTTTTCCAGCCAAATATTCTTCATGACTTTTAAAAATATTTTATTGATTTCAGAGGGATAGGAACACCATGAAAATTATAAATCAGCTTCCTTCTACACACCCCCTACTAAGGTTCAGGCCTGCAACCCTGGCATGTGCCTCTGACTGGAACTGAACCTGGGATCTTTCAGTCCACAGGCTGACGCCAATCCACGTAGCCAAATCGGCTAGGGCTCTTTTACATGGCTGCCTAGTACTCCACCATCTGGATAGAGATTGCAAATTTCCTTTGCAGCAGAAATGAATTCCCAGACAATTACTTCTCTATTGCAATGCTGGAATGAACATCTTATAATTAATTTTTTTTCCTTAGGCTAAATTCCCAACGTAGGTTTACTAGGTCAAAGGCCATAATATGTTTGATACATATTATCAAACTTACATCCAGGAAGGCTGTACCAATTTGTACCCCTATATGCAATGTATGTATTATTTTATCGATAGTACTCCTTTGCCAACAACTGGGTCTCATTTTTTCTGTTATAGCTTGCTATGAAAAAAATGCTTTGGGGGTGGGGTGGGGTGGAGGTCAATGGGGGGAAAAAAGGACATTTGTAATACTTTCAATAACAACAAAAAAAATGGTTATAGCTACAATATATTTGCCTCTCTTTAATTAATAATGAAGTACACATTTGTATTCATGGTTTTATTCATTTGCTTTTATTTTATGAATTTCCTGTGTATATCCTTTCACAGCTGGCTCTTGTTCCTTGAAGCTGCTTATATGTAAATTACAAGGTAGGAGAGAGGTGGAAGGAGGTAGGGGAAGCCACAGGACACTTTAATATGGTCCCACATCTCTGAAGGAGGCGGAAAGACTGAAGATGCCGGGAAGCTTGTCCTTGCCGGAGGCTGGGTGTCCTCTCTCTTCCTGGGGTGCTCCTGGCCTTTATGCCCCCCTCTGCAGGGTGCCCAGACAGGTCCTGTGCACTGCAGGCTTTGTCCTTCACTGGTTTTCCGCCTGCCTGTGTTCCCAGGACGCTCCTCCTCATCTCTGCTCCATGATCGGTGAGGATGGCAGAGCCACACACCCAGGGCTGGAAGGAAGCACTGTGGCCAGTGGAGCGAGGAGGGGAAGGAAAGACGGAAGCAATGTCCAGGGACAGAGAGATCTTTGTGGAGTGGACTCAGTCTACCCACCCCCTCTACCACAGTCCCACACACATCCGGCTTAAGCTGTGGAAGAGCTGGGTTCAGTGGTCTACTCTCCCCTAAATCTTTTGAGTTTCTCACAAATGGGTAACAGGACCCAGCTCCTCTTCCCCCCCAAAATAGAACAAACAGCTTCCTGCAGCCCCTGAAGGCAGCCACCTTCAGGCAGGGATTCTAGGCCAAGGCTGAACCACACCAGAGCCTGAGCCAAAGAGTGCGATTGGATCAGGAACTGGGGATGGCAGGTTTATACTGCCTGATGCCCCAAAGGGGTTGAGTCCCAGAACTCAGCTCTCCTGGTTGCTGGAGGGGAGAATTTCCTGCCTGCACAGGGCTGAGTTGAGTTTCACACACCATCCTGAAAGTGAAGTGAGGAAGAGCGGTGGTGGCCGTCAGGGGCCGCAGTCCTGTCATGGGTGGCAGAGGACCCCTGGGGCCACCTTTGCACAATGAGAAGTCAGTGTGGAGGCGGAGCCCCTTTAGCCCTCCAACCCCCTACCTCTGGGGTCACCGTCAGGGACGGGGAGAGGGGCACTAGCTTAAGGGAAAAGCTGTTTTATTCCCACCCCAAGCTGAGTCTGCACAGATGGGCTTCTGGTTTCCTCAAGCACACTCCACTGGGTGATCTCTCCATCTCAGGCAGGTGGGGAAGCTGAGACTGGATGTCTAAGGGTGCCACATATAGGTCAGCATCCCTGAATCTCGAGTCTGGGCCAGTCTAAGGAGATACAGGAAAGGTAAGAGCAGGGGTATGGCTACTGAAAAGGCAGTTTTAGTATGACCTTCTGGACCTCACCTGGAAAGACCAGTGGAAAGAATGAGGGATAAGGAAGGAGGGCCAAGAAAGACATCTGGGTAAAGGGATAGACAGGGTTTCTTTTGCTCCACTTCCTCCCACTGTCACACAAAGACTGACTAACGTTAGGCAGCCGGAGACAACTATTCCCTAATTCAGTCAGGGTCTCTCAAATTGTTCTCTCTTGTGACGCCAATCAGGGTGAAGGCTCTCCGACTGAACAAGGTTCCCTTTCCTGAAACATATCACCATCACTCCTGCTGTCCAGACCTTCCCAGCCCCAGTTCTGTCACCTTCCAGAAGAGGGGGAAAGCAGCTCCTTCTCCTCCTCCTCCTCCTCCTCGAAGCCAGCGGCAGAGGGCAACAGTTCTTCAACTGGCAGCTTTAGCGGGGTCAGGACATAAAGCTTGCCACTGAAGAACTACTGCGGCTCAGCCAGGTGAGGGTGTGGGAGGTGCCGGCTCCTAGAGGCAAAGGGAAGAGAAACAGGAAAGACCTGAGCAGGGTCATGTCACAGGGACACTGTCCATCCAAGTCCAGTGCCAGCAGACACTCAACCTTTAAAGAAGGGCTCTTAGCCTGGGCCTGCAGGAGCTCAGGGAGAAGCAAGGGGCAGCTCTAAACACATTTCCCTCGATCCTCTTCCCAGAACTGCAGAAACCCAGGCTCTGGTCCCCTTTGCCCCAGCCACACATGGGCTGGGGGTGGGGAGGCAGCCTACTCAGCCTTCGGAACAGTCAGGACCTGGGACCCTGGACACGCCCTTCCCTTTTTTCCAAGGTACTAGGTGAGAAATTGTATCTCAGGTCCAGAAAGGAGTTCAGGGATCAGCCCAACTGACTTCTCCCCAGAGAGCCCAGCTGGAAAAAGTTTTGGGGGCCTGGATGTGGGAAGAGGGAGGAAGGGAGGAGGTCTAGAGTTTGGAAGGTCAGCAGAGGCTCCTGGGACTGAGGGGCGAGGACGAGGGACCAAAGGCTGGAGGGGAGGGAGCTCAGGCAGGGAGGTTGGGCAGCCTCCCCTGGACTCTCAAATGCCAAGCATTCCGCTTGCGCATTCCGGGTACATCTGGTATGAATTCCAGGCTGTCTGCCGGCCCCTCCAAGTCTGAACTTTGTTCCAAGTTCCAAGCCCCGCCCCCACAGTTCCAACGCATGAATCAGCAGGAAAAGCCGGGCCCTGCAGCATGGCCAGGGGAGGGGGTTGGGGGCGTGGCAGGCTTGGGGGCCGAGAGCTGGGGAGGGCGGGTCTGTGCTGACACTCAGCCCAAGGGCATGCCCATGCCAAGGGGAGTGGCCAAGGTGGTCTTGCCTTGAGGTTTCTTATACTTAGAGGGTAAAAAAAAAAGACTAGGGTAAGGTTGGGAGGCTTTCAAATTACAAAACCCTCTTGGAAAGCATGAATTTTGAGGCATCTTCCTTCTCCCAAGTGACCAGTGCCCAGCTCCTTCCCATTCCCCTCTGTCGGGGCCAGCTCTGGTCAGCCCAAAGGACTTAGCGGCTGCTGAGAGTTTGTGCCAAGCAGGTGCCCTTGGCTGCAGAGCGGGGTGGGTCCAGGGCACTGACCCTCTGACCAGCTGCTCCATCAACCTCCTGGCACCCCGACAGCTTCCAGCCCAGCCTGACAGCCAGGATGACAGGCCAAAAGAGTTGGAGGCAGGAACGAGGGCCAAGGGAGGTGGGGGCGATAGCCTAGCCCGAGGCCACGGGGAGGGGCCAAGAGTTGGCCGAGAGGTGGGGAGAGAGGGAGCCCAGCGATGACTAACCCAGGCGCCCCACCCAGCCAGCCGGTTTCCCAGGCGGTCAGGCCAGGCCTGGGCTAGGGCCCCCACAACCGGACAGGCTTGGGGGAGGTGCAGAGGTGACCTTCTCTCGGCCCAAGGCTGCTAGTGAGGCTGGGGGGGTGGGGGTGGGGAGGTAGAGTTTCCAGGCCTTCCTCGTGCCCGCTCCCCCCACCGACCGCGGTGAAACCCTAAACCTTTGGGTTGCATAAGGCCCCGGCACCGCCGCCCCCTACTCCTCTGCCCTCCCCCCTTACATAACCTCCCCTGGAGGGAACGAGAGGAGGGGCCGGCCCGCCCAGAGACCCCTTCTCTGCCGGGGTACTCAGCTGGCCCGGACTCAGAGAGTGCCGGGAGAAGCCAAGCACTTCCACTGCCTCCCGCCCGGGCCACATCCTCTCCAGGCGGAGCGGTCGGTCCCGTACCCTCGGACCAGAGGGCGCGAGGTCAGCCGCCCCCAGCCCTCCCGCCCCTCACCGCCCTCCCGCCCCTCACCTTACTCCCAGCTACTCCGCAAGACCCTCCGCCACGACTCCTGTCTCGGCCTCTTTTTTTTTTTTTTTTTTTTTTAAAGAAAACACCAGACACACTAGTCCAGCCAGCCCAGGACCCTCTCCCCCGGAGCGCCCCTGCCTCCGCCGCCCCCTCTCCCCTCTCCCCTCCCCCGGAAGGGCAGGGTGTGGCCGCCAGAACCGTACTTGCCCCCATTACCCCCGTCAGCACGGTTCCCTCCAGTGCGGCCAGGACCCCGGCTCACACCCACCTGGTGCTGGGTGTGTGTGGGGGCTGCCGAAGGTTGGGGAGCAAATCAGTGCGTCCGTGCCCCACGGCCGGCGGCGCTCTCTTCCCAGCGCCCAGCGCACACCGGCTCCAGTCTCCGATCAGCTGGCGGCGTCGTGACGCACGAGTTGCGATTGCACCGCCCTGGGCCAATCACCGCCCACCGGTGTGCGGCGTGGCCACACCCACTCGGGGGCGCCCGCCCTTCGCCCTGATCCCGCCTCTCCGGGCTGGCTTAGCTCAGATTGACAAGGAGACCACCCCTTTGCCTAAGTGGAGTTGCACTAAGCCACACCCACCAGCTCAAGAGCCGGCCAATAGGCGAAAAGGCGTGGCTCGGCCCTCCGCTAGGCTACTAGCTTTGAAGGAGCCCCTACGTCAAACCAGGGTCCGAAAGAGCAGCAGGAAGTAAAGGCGTGTGTGTTCGCAGTGCATTCTGGTCCTTGTAGTTCTCGAGCTGACACCCCCCCATTCCCAGAATTCAGAGCGCTCTGTGAGTTGGCATTTTTAAATCATCTCTGAAGCCATCCCCGGCGAAATCCTTAAAGGGCTACGGCCCCTCCTTTTTGGAGCCGCGAGTGCTTCTTTTAGACAACCCCAAAATGGATTCGCTGACCTCTGCAGGAGGCTCTCTAAGGAAAAAAGTGGAACAGGCGAGGCAGCAGGAGTGGGCAGAACTGAAGGTGGAAATCAGTCCCCAGGGCAGCAGACTCCTCCACGGATGGGAATTCCTGAGGGCTTTTGCGGTAGGGGAGACTGCCCACCTCTCCAAGCCCCAGCTTTCACTGGAGAGATCTAGTCCACCCCTCCTGGGGGTAGGGGTGGGGGTGGGGGGAAGGCTTCCTGACCAGGAGACTTTCCTTGGAGATGTCTGGTCCCAGTCGCAGGGACAGAGCCGCTTCCTAACAAAAGATTCATACTTTTTCGCGGCTGTGAAGCTGGGGAAGTCCCAGCCGGGCCGAGGACATCGCTCTCAGGATCCTCCCAGCCCTCCCACCCTTCCCCAAAGGCCCTTAATAAAATGGTCTGCTTACCCCTTCCCTTCCCCGACCCCTCCCCACCCCCCAAATAAAAAGAAGATTCATAGTACAGTCTTCACCTGAGGGTAGATGGAAGACTTCTGGTCAGAAACTAGGGGATGGCCGTGTCAAAGTGCAACTGGCCGGCAACCCCATCCTCTGCCTTAATACCCCCATTCAGTACCGCCCCTCAGAAGCTTTGCACTGACTCAGACCTACTTAGGGAAGAGATTGCAGGTAGAGACCAATGAGGAGGCTGTTCCTTCCCTCAGGAGCCAATCAGGGTGTAGAGGGGCGGGGGGGGATGGGCAAAAAACTGAAAGGATCCCAGTGACTTGGCAAAAGCTGCCGAACTGCTTATTAAAAGGGGCGAGTCTGGGACCCACCCCATAGCATCATCCCCCCCGCCCTAACCCCTTCCCAACTGAACCCAAACGTGTAGACAAGGATCCATGACTTTTCCATGGGCTCCAAACTGGGGGGGAGGCTAACTGAGCTGAAACGCTCTGGCTGGGGCGGGAGAGAGTTCCTTCTGTGCTGAATACGGGCTCTGCCACGTGATTGCCATGGTTTCTAGGAGCGCCACAATTCTGAACTTGTGTTCAGAGCTTTGTGCCTTTAAGGAAACTTTCTGCCTTCCACCCCAGTAACAGCTGACTGCTGGAAAGTGTGACCTCAAGGGACAAATCAGCTGCTACCACATCCTCCTTTTGGCCTGCCCTACTCCCTCTGATTAATTCTCTCCTCCCCCCTCCCCCCGCACCGGGTGGGGCGGGAATGAAGGAGACAGAACCCCAAATATGGGGGACCTGCTTGTATGTCCTCTCCTCTTCCCTCTTTCTGTCACCCTCTGCCTCCCTCCTCTCTCCCTTCCCCCCTGCTGGTTAGTTCTTCAGAGGTTCTGAGCTTGGAATCAGAGAGGTATTTCCTGTCGGCACAGTCAGCTCAGACCCACCCTCCCTGGTCTAGGAAGGGGGGCCAATATTGGAGAGGCCCAGAATGGAGGCTTGAATGTGTGTGTGTGTGTGGTTTTTTTGGGGGGGAGGGGAAGAGTCCAGGAATGGGTACTGGGGAAAGCCCAGTGAAGCTTCGGACTAAGCCTAGAGGAGTAGAACAGTCGTGGAAAGCAAGCCCCCAGGGTGTCAGAACCCTGCTCCCTGGGCCGGCCAGCTGCCCTTTGCTCCCTGCTCAAGCTGCCCTATGCCTCCCCGGACAGGGACCCGCTAAGTGAATGCCCTGGCCTTGCTTCTAACTCCACTTCTGTTTTTAGATGCCACCATGGCTGCTTCGGTTTTCACACTCTTACCCTCTACAGCCAGGGAGCTAATGTGGTGCCAACCAGGGCTGCAGGTGGCACAGTACCGGCCCCAGGAACCAGCGGCTTTGGCTGGGAAGCCCAGCAGGAAGACCTAAGTAAATATTTCTCCCCAGCTCCGAGCTGGGAATCAGGGTCACTCCAGGACAAGCTTAGTGTGAAGTCCCAGGAATGACTTGGCAAGGTTGGGAGAAACTGATCAGGGCCTTGGCCACGCTTGGAAGGAAGAGAAATCTCACCAGCTGACCCATTCCCATTATCCTTAGCATAGAAGCCGAATCCCCTTTCCACCCAAAGGCCCTGTAGCAGGCTAGTCTTTCTTTTGTTCTGCTAACTCTCATCCCCTCACCCTCCCACCCTAGGGCACAGGCACAGGCTTTCCGTCCAGGGTTTCTCAATCTCAGCACTATTGACATTTTGGATTGAATAATTTCTCGCTGTGGGGCTGCAGTGTAGGGGCCAGCATCCCTGGCCCACTCGATGCCATTAGCAACACAACTTGATCCTTCCCCATGACAACCAAGAGTCTCTTTAGACATTATCAAACAGTCCCTGGGATTCCGAATTGCCCCCAGTTGAGAACCACTGAGTTAGACAAACTTGGATTCAAATTCTAGCTCTTACCAGCCCTGAGCTTGATGAATATACTTAACATCTCTGAGCTTCCGTGTGCTCATCTACAAAATTGAATGAATAATAAATTCACATTGTAGGGATTAAAGAAGGAAATGCCTAGCACAGCACCAGGCTCACTGGCCCACAGTTGGTGCGTTAAACATTAGCTGCCTTCACTTTTCTCCCTGCCGGATCAGCGAAGGCCAGCCTCACCCGGCATGGGCTCACTGCCGGGGCAGCTGCAGCTTGCCTTCCTGACTATCCAAGCCATGACCTCCAGGACACTCAATATTGAGGTTGGCAAAGGGGGCTGGCTAATTTGGTCCTAGATTCTCCAAAGTCCAAAGGTGCTTGGGTTGGGATTCAAGGAAAAATTTGGAATAGATGTGTTACAAAGCATTATATCTCAAGATATGGCCTGCAGATTGCCTGCATCAGAATTACCTGGGGTGCTGTTAAAAATTCAGATTCCGCCGAAACCGGTTTGGCTCAGTGGATGCAGGCGTCCTCAAACTTTTTAAAGTGGGGGCCAGATCACGGTCCCTCAGAGAGCTGGAGGGCTGGACTATATGAACTACTAATTCCTACTGTAACACCTCGGCTGCGCTCACTGCCCAAAAAACCTGGCGGGCCAGATCAGACTCCTCTGTGGGCCGCATGTGGCCCGAGGGCCGTAGTTTGAAGACGCCTGAAGCGCCGGCTTGGGGACTGAAGGGACCCGGGTTCGATTCCGGTCAAGGGCATGTACCTTGGTTGCGGGCATATCCCCAGTAGGGGGTATGCAAGAGGCAGCTGATCTATGACTCTCTCTCATTGATGTTTCTAACTATCTCTCTCCCTTCCTCTCTGTACAAAATCAATAAAATATATTTTAAAAAAAAATTCAGATTCCTGCCCTAGCCGGTTAAGCATATGCCCGGGTTTTGGGCTTGATCCCCAGTAGGGGACGTGCAGTAGACAGCCAAATCAATGGTTTCTCTCTCATCATTGATGTTTCTATTTCTTTCTCCCTCTCCCTTTCTCTCTGAAATCATTAAAGTTATTTTTAAAAAATTCAGATTCCAGCCGTGGCCAGTGTTGCTCTGTGGTTAGAGTCAGCACAACAAAGGATCTCGAGTTTGATTGCTGATCAAGGGCACATACCTGGGTTGCAGGTTGTGCCCCGGTCAGAGCACATGTGGGAGGCAACCAGTAGATGTGTCTCTCCTGTGGATGTTCCTCCCTCCCTCCTCCCCTTCCACTCTCTCTGAAAAGCAATGGGAAAAATATCCTTAGGAATAAATATCCTTTTATTTACCAAAAAATAAAAATTCCGATTCCTGGATTTCATCCCAGGCTACTGAATCAGAAGTACTTAACCAAGTTTGAAAAACCACTGTTTTAGGGCTCAGACTGGGGAAGGCGTCAATGCCTCAGAAATCTTAGTGCACTCAGAGCTCACCATTGCAAGGACTTTCTTGTTAAAGAGAAAGGAAGAATTCTGATTGGATTTACTCTCTTGGAAATATTTGTTCATTGGCAGCCAAGGTTGATCTGGCCCCGGATGATTCATTAATCCTAACCAGTTCATTAATTATCTTCTTTGCTCTCACTGCTTTGCAGAGTTAGGCTATTACTAGAACAGGAAGATTCATTTTAGAATCTAAACTACCTCTAAATGTTTTAAATACTCCTTTCTATATTCTGGCATTGAAAAGACATAACTTAAGTGAAAATTAAAAGGAAAATCTTATGGAATAATGAAAAAAAAAAAAAAAAAAAGGAGCCGAAACTGGTTTGGCTCAGTGGATAGAGCGTTGGCTTGGGGACTGAAGGGACCTGGGTTCGATTCCGGTCAAGGGCATATACCTTGGTTGCGGGCATATCCCCAGTAGGGAGTGTGCAAGAGGCAGCTGGGCGATGACTCTCTCTCATCGATGTTTCTAACTCTCTATCTATCTCCCTTCCTCTCTGTACAAGATCAATAAAATATATATTATAAAAAAAAAAAAGGAATTCTGAGGTAAGGTTAGTTACACCCAAGGTCATGGTTGCATTGCAAGCTAAAACCACTAGAGGGCAGGGCACACACAGACTTACAGAAAGAAAAAGTGCCTGTTCAGCCTAGGTAAACTGAGACCAGAGTAAAGACCAAATGGACCTAAGTTTATGGGCACTAAGAAGCAAGTACTACCTCCTGACCATCAAAATCCATCCTCTAGTCTCAAGTTCACAGACCCAAGTTGGGGATGAGAGATTGACAGGAACACCTAATTTTCCAGCTGGAAAGAATAATGGTGCTGTGGCCAAGGAGCACAGAGAACATTGGTTTTAGATTGGCCTGGATTTGAATCCTGGCTCTACCTTCTTAGCTATGTGACCCTGGGCAAGTTACCTAAGGTAGTAATTTTCCTAATCCTAATGAGGATTAAACAAAACCAGGTATGGGAAGTGGTTAGCATGGTGCCTAGATCCTAATTAGTGGTCGTAAGTTATGACCAAGGTCTGATGACCAAGCACTTCAAAGGTTCCAGCTGCCCCTTCAAGAAAGAGGACACAGCAGCCCCTGGCTCAGCTGGTTGTAGTGTTGACCCGAACACCAGGTTTTGGGTTTGATTGCCGGCCAGGGCACATACCTACCGGTAGTTTTCAGGCTCAGTCTCTGGTAGGGCAGCAGCCAATTAATGTTTCCTTCTCATATCCAAGTTTATCTCTCTCAATTAAAACGTATCCTCAGGTGAGGATTAAAAAATGAGAGAGAGCCGAAACCGGTTTGGCTCAGTGGATTGAGCATCGGCCTGCGGACTCAAGGGTCCCAGGTTCGATTCCGGTCAAGGGCATGTACGTTGGTTTCGGGCACATCCCCAGTAGGAGGTGTGATGGAGGCAGCTGATTGATGCTTCTCTCTCATCGATGTTTCTAACTCTCTGTTCCTCTCTGTTCCTCTCTGTAAAAAATCAAAATATATTAAAAAAAAAAAAAGAATAGTCCTTTAAAATAAATAAATAAATAAATGAAAATAAATAAAAAATTAAAAAAAGAGAAAAAATATGGAATCAGATTATAGCAGAGCCATTCCTGTCTCTTCTCTAATTTGGACTTCAGTTTTTCTTAAGTG